TCCCACAAAAAAGCATAGCCCCATTGTCGCCTGCTGCCCGTCCTATATGAAGCTGTTCTTGACGACAAGCTAACTGCTTTTGTGCTGCTTTTGCTATCTCATAGTACCCCACTGTTCTGTTCCTGTATGTGCGATACAACCTCAGAATGGTCCATTCACAGCACTACCGTCTTCCCCCGAACACAACACACCCTTATATTGGCTGTATCTGGCCGGAAATATAGCTTGTATACATTCATTGTTAGGGTGCGTTATGTTCGGGGGAAGACCGTAGTAGGAGCATGTTGTCGTTGGTTGTCCACTGTTGTTGCCATCCCGCCTTCCCAAGTGTTCTGCGGTTCCCTGCACGGCCCCTGTACCGGAGGAGAACGCGTATTCGTTAGGATGAGGATGTCAGGAGGCTGTGAGGATGTTGTTGCCGTTGTTCTCCCGTTGGGTATCCACAGATTTGGCAGGCACACTGCTTGCCCCGGCTGGCCAGGTGCCGGGGAGGGTGGAGGGGGTTGGTGGGAGAGAATGTGGGGGTGATGGTGTGGGAGGCGGTACACCCATTGGAAGCGGAGGTGGTTGCGGTGGGGTGACACGCGGAGGCCCGGTCGGGATGGGGGGGGAGGGGACTGCAGGAGGGGGGAAGTCCTAGGGGGGCTTTCTGGTGGGGTCTGTGACAGCAGGTGAGTGGTCCAGGGCAGGGAGGGAAAGGAAGAGGGAGAGGGCACAGCACTCGGTTCCTGGGAGGGCTGCCCGTCAGTCAGTGTCATGGCCGGTTGTCCCGACAGCGAGGTGTGGTAACAATCCATTGTCCTATAGGTCCTTGTGCCTCTGCCGCCCAGTTCTTCCACTGTACTTTTTCGTTTTCATGGACTTCTGCTAGCCAGCAATGGGGGTCTAGCCAGTGGTCTCTAAAGGACTTGATGCCCTGTTCTCTCACCTCCCTGTCGGGCATGCTGGCCATATCCTCAGTCAGTTTACGACTGGCTTTCATGATGTTTGCCCTGAGCACTTCCACTAGCTCCCCTTTTGCCTGGTGGAATCCAAATGCCGTATCTTGTCTTTGTGCAGAGCACCTCATCCTCCATATCACCATGAACACAGCCAGTCTCATGTGCTTGAAGAGGTTGTGTTGGAACGGTGTCCAGGATGAAAAGGTTTTCTGCCGTCCCAGCAGGATGAGTTCGACATCCCAGTGGAACACTGTGCCTGTTTGTGCGTGCCAGAGGGCATCCCACCACTGCCACATCCGTTTGGTCATCGGGCACCTAACAGAGTGTTCCCGGTCCGCCCAACTTCGCAGTGGACGCAGATGGGGGACAGCACGCCTGCTTGTTCCAGGGCGCAGTGGGAGGTCACCCAGCCCGGAGTTGGGAGGCAGCGGTGAAAGTATTTGCCACTGCGGGGCCCTGTGAGATGTGGGCATTATGTGTGCGCATGTTTCCCAGAGAATGTGGCGCAGGGGGGAGTCACTCACCGGGAAGTCCCTTTTCCACCGATTATGTACGACTGATGTGGAAGTTTTGAGAGGATGTGCTTGCTTGTACCCATCTCTTTTATGTATGTATTTCCTAGGAAGATTCTCACGCCCGGCCGGGCACCCGGGCGTGCCAAAAAAAAAAAGATTTTTTTTTTTTTTTTTTTTTGGTTTTCTGCGCTCTCCCAGAGGATCCCAAATCCGGGTTCATTTCTTCTTTTGTGAGTTGGCTGTCAAGGGGGGTGGAGGCAGGTATAAATTAAAGAGGGGTGCCTTAGTGTGATTCTGTTTTTTCCTTTTACATCTCCGATTCTGTGAGGAATTTTAATGTGACCCTCAGCCAAAAGTCGTTTCTACTGCAATTCTACACAATTTTTTTTCCGGAATTTTTTTGATTTTTTGATTTTTTTTTTTTTTTTTGTTTTTTTTTTTTTTTTTTTTTGGGGGGCGCTGAGGCTGCCCGGAACCCTGCCCGGGGGTCATGCCCGGCCGGGCACCCGGCCGTGTACACGGGGATAGGTTGGGTGCCCTGACGCCTGGAAAAACAGCCTAGTGTATTTCCTCTTTCTTGATTTTTTCCGAGTACTTTCTGTGTCTGAGTGAGCACCTTTATGAAGTGCTAAACAGTCAGTGGTCGATTGTTAAGAGTGCATGCACAACTCTGAGGGGGACCGCTCTGTCTGAAATGTCTGCAGTGCATATGGTTTATGGGTGATGATAAATGTCTGTCGGAGTGGCTTCCAGGCTCAGCAGGTGTTGGCCCTTTTGGGAACCAACAGTCTGCGGACGTGTGGACTGCCTTGTGACCCTTGTCTATGCTCAGTGGCTGCCTTGCTGCCCATCCCCTTGCTCTGCATGTCATTCTTTGCAGCTGGTGTGTTGCTATGCAGTTTGGTTGCCTTTCTGGTGTTGCCTTGTACTTTGCTGCACGGTTGCCTGCTGCCCGTCCTCGTACCTCGTCTTCCCGTGCGTTTTGCTTGTGTGCCGTGCAGTTTTCCCACTGCTGCAGCGCCGCTTTGTGCGTTGCTGTGGTGTTGCCTTGCTTCCCGTCCGCTTGCACTGTTGTTTCATGCAGTTGGCTTTGGCGTCGTGCAGTTGAGTTGCCTCAGTGGCGTTGCATGGTGCTTCGCTGAGTTGTTGCCTGGTGCTATGTTCCGTTCGTAGTGTTGCTTCCTGGCAGTCTGCTTTCAACAAGAGTCAAAGGGTTCATGACCCAACACATCAATACTGGGATCCTGCAGCTTGTCCAGTGTTCAGCCTCCTGATGAGTCGGTGCAACTCCGACGAAACAATCTTTCATCATCGGTTGTATTTTTCTTCGTTCTTGACATGTTTTTTTTTGGGACTTGTATTTTTCTTGTTCGCCTTGTGGTTTCTTTGTGTCTTGCTGTTTCTTGGTGTCATGTCTAGCAAGCAAACATGTGTTTGAGCGCACACGTAGAGCGACTTGATGGGCAAAGATCAGCAAGCAAAATTTGGGCTATGGAGATTATCACATTCTGATGCCGATTGACTCTCGTCTGCATTCATGATAACCATATCTTTCTGCCTGTCGCGAGTCCAGTCAGGCACGAACCCACGGGGAGCATGTCTTCACCCTGCACTGACATGGAAATTGAATGCCGTTCTCAACATACAAAATTTCAACAACAACCTTGGATTAAGGCTATAATCTCAGTGTCCTTCGGGACATCCGTTAAAATTGGAACGATACACAGAAGATTAGCATGGCCCCTGCGCAAGGATGACAAGCATAAATCGAGAAATGGTCCAAATTAAAAAAAAAAAAAAAAAAAAAAAAA